TGAAAAATATTTGTTACTTATGCAACAAGTAAAAATTACATTTTAGAATGTGAATTTAAAAAGTGCCACCCATCAAAATGATATCTCTATACATTCTTGGATCTTTTACTAGACTTCAAAATGTTTCATTTGCTCAAATTCTTTTTTAACAAATGCTATAAAGGAACCATTAAAAATACATGAGCATTTGGGATAAGGAGATAATTCGTATCCCTTAATAAAGTCTGTGTTATATTTAGGAAAGATAACCATTGCTTTAAGACTTTTTTCAAGGAACTATTCTCAATAATTGAGAGATTTACATTTGATTGCAAGATGAATAGACTACACAGCAATTTTCATAATTTTACAGCATTAGCTCATGTTGAAACACTTTCTTTAGAATCATATTTCTTTAATACTTTAAAATTTTGGGTTTTCAAAGAAAGTTCTAGAAAAGTGAGATAAATTTAGACAAAGACTTACTTTTGTCATATTATTATTAAAGCTATTTCTTTGACTAAAATGAATCCCAAGTTAAACTTTTAAATAACCTTTCCTGATGAAATTATAAGTGAAGCTATTATCTTTTTTAGGTTTTACAGAGCATCTCACTTTTCCTTATAGAAGCTGATGTCCTTTATTCCACTCTTCAAAATCTACTTTATGGCAAGTTTTAAGTGTGGTTTTCACTTTCCCCAGAAATGTTTAACTTACCACTCAGGAGCCTGCTTCTGAGGAACTGTAACCTACAGCACTGCCCAGGCATATATGAGGCATTTAGCTTTCAGCCCAGGACCGAGGCTTCCTCTTATTGGTTAGAATCTTCCTTGAAAGAGATGACTTTGCAGTGATTGGCCTGGCAGAATGCTAGAAGCCCCACCCAGTCATTAGCCCTAAGGGACCTTTAAGTACCACATCAACTAGTAACTAGTAGTAAACCATTAATCCTTTCAGACAGGATATAAAATAAAGTTTCTTTAATTCATATGGCAAAATAGGTTGCTCAACAGCAATCATTCAAAAAAAATATCGCTTCAGTCACTTGGGGCTGGATAAATTGAGCCCCATGGTCTTATTTATGGGGAGTTGTAGAGACTGCCTGTTATTCAGATATGTACTAAAATATAGACCCCCCAGCGATAATTTTAATATTGAATAACTAGAAAATGGCATCAGGAATTATTTTCTCTTACGGTAAATATTGCCTTGTCTCTTCCCTGCCTGGGAAGTGAGTAGTTAAGAGAAGAATCAACAATTCATTGAAAAGATTTCTACCTAGTGGGAAAACTATCTGAAGCAGGAATCAAACTGAAGTATGTTTCCCAGTGGCACTACTAAATGAACCTTTCATCTCCATCTGGAAATACATTTTTATCAAATCTAGTTTTTGAGTTTTGCTGAGAAGGTTTTGCTCAAATCTGTGAGTTGGTGATTATTAAGACAGCGCAAACAATCCCTCCTGCAGGTCTGTCATTGGTTTTCAATCAAGATGATTGAATGAGTCCTCCTTGTGTCTAACAAGAAGCTGCCCAAGTGATTTCCACTTGCATCAGAGAGGCTTGGTGGTGCAATATAGTAAAACTCTGGAGCTAGGATCTTTGGTTTATATTCTGGCCCTGCCATTTCTTTTTTGTTGTTGTTGTTGTTTGTATATTTTTGGTCTATGTATATCCTTTTATTTGTACATTTTAGGTGTACAATATAATGACATTCATCACTGGCCATTTCTTATCTATGTGAACTCAGGCAGGTTACTCTGTGGATAATCACAGTACTGACCTTGCAGAATTTTGTGAGGATTAAATAAGTTAATTTGTTCTAGGATTTAGAAGAGCACCAGCATGCACACAGCCCTTGCTTTTGCTACTTTAGCAATATTCACAATTGGCTTGTGACTTACACTTAGTTACATCTGAGATTCTGAGATCAGTTACTAGAAATTGGAAGAGGCATTCTGCCTGTTAAAACGGGAGGAAAAGTTAATTGATGAGGAGATACAGGATTATAGAAAAGGGTATAGAGACACCTTAGTGGAAATTCTTAGGTCCTCTTAGGCAGGTACATATGTTACTTAGGCTGATGTCATGAGGTTATATCCCAAACACAGAGCATTACAAAGATGTCTCTATAACTCAATTTCCTCTTAAAGGCCACCAATACAAGGCATTTATCTATTTACCCAAGAGCTCTAATTTCCATGTAGAAGGCCTTTAGGCACAAACATTAGACACATTTCAGATCTGAAGTGAAGCTGACTCTTTCAATTGGTCTGGGACCAATTAGAATGAAGTTAGGAGTCAAAATAAGTTCTAATCATTGAGTTAGGACAGGAGCTGTGAATTGACATTGTCCAAACCCAGCTTGCTTTTCCTCTACCAAAGGCTGTGCGTGAGCTCCTCCAATGCCAGTTTCTTGCTGCCTGCCTGCCCGACTACAGTGTAGTGTGAATTAGTTTTAGTCTTGGTCTTACATCAACCAGACAGTTTCATTCTAAGGCTTTTATCTCTAACAGTGAAATGAAAGTCTTTGCTCTTTTTTAAGGGAATTCAGAACTTCTAGAGAAGATGGGAGATGGTTTGGGAGATATGGACTAAATTACACCATCCATAAAGTTAACCTTGAAGGGTGAACCTGATTTAGGCCTTCAGACAGGTGGGCAAGGTAACAGGAGCAGTGTAACTCTGTCTCTCTGCCTGTTCTCCTCAACAAGGCTCTCAGGGAGGGGCGGTGGTGGCTGATCCCAAGTATGACATTGGAATCTAACACTGAAAGACGAGCATTTTATAAAATTTCCGTGCTGTGTCCATTTTATAGCCAACCTTTTGAAAGTGGATAGTTATTATATTTTTCTAGCTCTGAAAATACAGATGATGACCCCTCTTCTGTTCCTTCAAAAGCAAATCTAAGGCATACAATAGGCCATGAATAAAAGCTATGGGTGTTTAGATCCAGTATGGGGATGTGGACGAAGCCATGCATGGAGATGCTTTAGGCTGATGACTTTCTCTGCTTGTAAATAATATGGTAGTGGAGCTGTTGTCTGAAAATGTTCATACTTCATAAAGTTTTCTTGCCTTTTGGCTTTTTGAAATTTGCTTTAAAAAAAAATTAAGATCCAGTTCTGCTATATTTGAGTTACCAAAATGGAGAGTTTTTGTGGGTGCTTTACCTGGGAGATAAACAAGATACCTGACACTCGGATACATTTTCAGAGAGCACTTTAAAAGCCTGTGACATCACGAAGCTGTCTAGTGCCCTGACATATACAGTTTTTAGCAAGTTCAGCTGAGCTTAGATCAGTGATAACTCCTTAGGCCAAATTACCAGCTGGCTTCAGGGTGTTCCAAGCCTGAATTCCTGTACAACAGGGGCAGAGAGAGACCCCATGAGGTGAAAGTTTTGCCCAGAAGAGTCACAGCCAACACAGATGGGGATGGAAAGCATCACGGAATCTCATGGAGATGGATAGGTTTGGAATTACACAGTCCTGAGCAGCGGCCATATTGGTAAGATGTAGACGTGAGAAAGATGGTGTCAGGGAGGATGGAACATGCTAGAACACCCACTTTCGATTCTAAACACAACCATCCCTAACTTGATGACCTGGGGAAGTTACTTAACCTTCTTGACCTTAGTTCCTCATGTGTGAAGCTGAGATGAAAATAAAATGGAAGTAGTAGCCCCAAATTCAAAAGATTTGTAAGGGTATCATATAAATGGAAAGCACCTAATTGAATGCTCTCAGTAAATATTAGTCTTATTTCTCCTTGACATGTCTGGCTGTTCTGTAGTCCCACTTGTCATAAATGTTTTTGTATTTATTTGTTCTTTCCTATATGCCTCCATTCAGTGATCATAGAGAATCAGAATTGTGTAGCTGGAAAGACTTTTGAGATTGTATAATCCTATCTTTCCATTTTTCAAATTAAGAGAATGAAGATTGAAGAGGCTGAATAACTTATACAAAGCCATTACTTCTTAGAGTTCAAGAATTTCTATTGCCAAATCTTGAAGAAGATACTACATAATGATAGCACAGTACATACTAATGCTATTTTAGGGTTTTCAGTGTGCTGTCACATTCATTATATCTCATTGGTCTTCCCAACGTTCTCACAAGATATGTAGGATGGGTTTCTTGCCCTTGTTCTCCAGCTGTTGGAAAATACATTGTCTTTAGCTAACTTTCTAGATCATAAATGTAGTTCTTGGTTGGGGCCAAAATCGTAATTCAAATTTCTTGAGATTAGGCTTCTAATCTGAGAAACTTCTCAAGACATTTTAAATCTTTATTCTTGAATCTCTGTGTTCCAGGTACATTTGTAGCCTTTTTAGGCCCCTGAAGTCCACAGAGATTAGATGACTTGTCCAAGGTTGTGTAGCTAACTAATAGTGTCAGAGCTGAGACTGGATTTTGTGTTCTGGTAGAGAGTTCTTTCCACTGTGTTGTGCTAGAAACCCCCCTTTCCATGCTATTTATATAAGGAACAGTGAAGGAGGTATTAATATGAGGCAGGTCTGGAATTTATGGATCCAAATATTTAATTATGAGAGATTCTACCCCCAAAATTAGAAGGGTCAGGGCTTTATGAGTCTTGAGAATCTAGGTTATGTGGATTTGGGTATTATTTTTTCCTGTGAAGCTTGTGGACCTACGGCTGTTCTTTAAAAACTCAAATTGCCCTCTATGGCTCTGAGGTCAGAGCATGAGTCCCATAAAAACTCATGTTCTGTTCTTTGGACTGAAGGTCCCTCGGGTTTCAAACCTGACTTGATAAAGGAAGAGGAATCTGGAGTATGGACTATGGAGAGTGCCTGAGTTTTGCAGGGAGAGGAAGCAGGATGCCTCCAGCATAGTCATTAGCATGAGAAAAGAAGTAAGGTTCAGAGCAGGAAAGGATGAAGATGATCTACATGGTTGGAGCCATGTTTATGCTGTACTCATTAGAAACCTCCATGCAGGGAGAGAGGAGCGAGAAATCCCCACAGAGGGGTGATAATTTACACAAGGTGGTGGATAAAGCAATCACAGATGTTTATTGAATTCAGTGAATGAAAGGAGGTCTTGTCTGGCACACACAAGGTAATCACAAATATATCCCCCACGTGTCCCACTGGCATAACCATAAGAAGCAAAAGTCGGAACTCTCAGGCAAGCGCATATTCAAATGTCCCTTTGTCAAACTCTTCAACTTCATCTTCCCATGTGGAGGAAGGCATGCTACTATATGGGTCTAACAGAATTTTGAAGCATCGGATAATAAGAAGTCCCAAGAAGATACACAGAATCCCAACGAAAGCAAAGCCAGTCTTTTGCTCCAGAGTCAACGAGAAAGTGGAGACTTCATGGACGCTCATCTTAGCTGAAGAGTTGCCACAGTAGATACTACTCATTATTCCCGGGTACATTCTTGAGGCTCTTCAGAATTCCTGCTGGCATCAAAGCTTGGCCTAGGTACAAAATTGGACTCAGTTTAGTTTTACCCTGGTATGGTATTGGGCAGGAAGTTGTTTCATAAAATCTGGTAGTTTTTCAAATCCTCCACTTAACTCACAAAAGGATGTTGGAAAACATCATCAGGTACGGATCTGAACCAAAGTAGCACTGGAGATGCTACTCGCACTGTGGCAATTACAGAATTACTTTTGTGGGCATATAAAGCTGCCTACATAGTCTAAATATAAAATCAAGTGTGAAGGTGAACATTCAACTAATTAACCCTAAAAACCTCTGGGTCATTGGTAGGTTATCACTGCTGGTTCTTTGAATTTGCTTCTAATTTTCGCTTCCTTTCTGCATGTGTGGATAATGCCATGAATATGCATAGAGTACTAGCTGCTCATGCCATTTGAAGTCCACACCATGGGGTTTATCTCCAGTGTCATTTCATCCTATATCTACTGATTCTTTTAAACAGGTATAATGTCTTCTCTCTTCACCTCTTCAGCTTTTATACTTATGTACTTGAATTTTTTTTCTCCCCTATGGCTGATGCACTAAATGTGAATTTGTTAAAGAAACAAATCATCTTTTTAAGGTGAAAGATTTATATGATCTGAAGAGAAACCATAGTATTGTGTTTTTAAAAAATTATGTTAATACCAGCAGTGTCAAAAGCAGCACCTTGTAAGGGACAGCAGCAATAGTTTTGGCCCATCGACTACCTCCCCACTATCCTCATTAGTTCTCAGAGCCCCCTAAATTACAGAAAATCCTAGGTAAACAGGACATTTTTTCTGCAAATTCAGCTTCAAGACAAGGTTCCCCGGTCCTCTCCCACCAGATTTTTATCCCTAAACCCCTACTACATTGCGATTCTAAAAATACAGCTGAAGTGCTCAGAAAGTATATGCTGAATTGAAACAAAACAGTTTTCCCCCATCTGATGTTTCAGGAAGTTAAATTAATTAATCATTGTAAAAATAAAGATAGCTAATTAGAGCAAATGATTACCAATATATGGCAACTCTGTGGGACTGTCGCCAATAAGTTATCATCCAGTAACTGAGAATGAGAGGCTTAGTGTTTTCTTTTTGTTATTGTTTCTTTTGGTCATTTTCTGAAATTATGTTTATTTTAAATTAGTGACCTTTGAGATTATTTAGGACCAAGTGTTCAGAGAAGAACAGAGACAGTAAGAGATGGAAAGTAAGGAGTGAAGAAAGTAATTATGAGCGTTGTTGCTTTCAGAAATATTCAGTAAATAATGCAATCAATCAGTACCAATCCATATTGTATTTTATAACCTGAACTGGTAGAGATATTCAGTACATTCTAGGGTATGCTAGTTGTTTAAGTTTTTGTTGTTGTTGTCTTTTAATAAAATTGTTTCAAACTGCTCCGTTAAATTTCTTTCCACCAAATCATTTTATGCCCTAATAAATAAGGATATAGTGAACTTAATTTTTTGGGGGGTACTGGGGATCAAACTCTGGTCCTTGCGCTTGCGCAGCAGGTGCCAAAACGACTGAGCTAAATACCCGGCCCCCAGTGAACTTAATTTTTTAAAGTATCACTTAAGAGGCTCAGCGTGATCTTTCTGAAGACTGAGTTCTTGTATAATTTTTTCTTTTAAAATTGTAGGAGAGCAGACTATCTAATAACTCTGAAAATTGACCGGGTGCTTTTTTCCAGCTCAGTTTCTACTTTTCTTGTTTTTGTCAGTGAGGGGTCATTTGCTGAGATACCTGTGAACCCTGGTCTATTTGTTTAATGGGTGGGAAAATGGGAAAGCAGAATGCTTCTACCTGGAGTCGCTTGAGCAAGCCCATGTCATGTAGCTGACTGCTTTGGACAAGTCACTTGTTTTAATTGCTTTTTTATTTTTCACTAGAGCAAATCCTTGGCAGGTTATGATGTCCGATTTTTCAGGGCTATGTGGGTACCAGGAGGAAATAGACCTGGCTTGTGGGTGGACACTGTCCACACTCTGCCTGGTGGGTTTCCTCCCATGAAGGTCTTGCTGGGAATGCTGCAGCCTTTAGCAGTGAGTGAGTTTCAGGGGCAGCCCCACTGCAGACAGCTGCCTCACCCAAGGTCACGGCTCTTCCCAGGGAAGGTTGCATTCAACCAAGGTGTTGGCATTCAGGCGTGACCGTCTGAACTCAAAGGGAGGCAGCACTCCATGCAGCCCTAAAGTTCCACGTGGGGTCCTCTGAGCTGTCACTGGGTCTACCTCACGGCTCAACTTCTGCTCACACCTGCTTGGTTCTCCAATCTCCTGCAGGTGCAGAGTCCAAGGGACATGCTAAATAACCATGGGACATGGGACAGGGATGGCTCAGGGCCTGGTTTCAGGGGGAGCCCAGCTTCCAACCACTGGCATCACAAAAGTTACAACACCTGGGCAATTTTAATGATTTGTTCATTTTTCCAGTGAGTTCATTTTGCCAACAGGTAGAGATAGTTTAAATTGCGTATAGTTGGGTATTAGCTAAATTTACTCTGATGTTTTTAAAAAATTCATAATGTAGACACATGTACGGGGTCATAGCTCATCACTGGAGGAGTTAAATCAGTTGGTTCTTGGCCAATAATTAAACCACAGTGCTCTGCCACCAATACACAAAACCAGCCAACAGACAAAAAGAGTTGTCTAGATGTAGCGGAGATACATTATTTATCTCTTAGATTGAAACAAGGTATCTTCCCAGTTAGGGTAAGGGTTAGAGTTGAGATTAGGGTTATAGAAGGCAATGCTTTGCGCTTTGAGTCTTAGGCAGTATGTGAATTAATAGAAAAAAATAACTTTCTTAAGTAGTAACCACATTATGGATGTCTGATAAATATCTGAGTTGAATTTAAATATGTGGAAGAATATAGTTTTTTTTTAAGAATATAGTTTTTGATGAATGAAGTTATTGTTTTTTAAAAAATTTAAAGTATCCAGAAAGTATGAAAAAATGTATTTAGCTAAAATTAAATGAATAAGAAAACTTGTGTTTGATTGCAAAAAGTGGCCTTGGAGGTTGTTACAAACATTCAGTAGCTCTTTTAGTGTTTGGTGTTTCTTCTTTTTACTATCAAATTGGTCAATGTAGCAGTCCCAGAAAAATCCATACGAGTTTTAGTGTTTAAAGGTAGAGAAAGTAGATCTTTCCTAACAACTTTGTGAGTTTTCTAAGAAATGGTATAGCTATCATATTATTTTGACATTAATCTGCATCTGGAAGTACAGGGTTAAATTATGTATTCATTTGGAGTAATTTTTGGTCACATTAATATTTCTGCTGCAATTATCCCTTCCTCTTCTATCCCTGTTCTCTACTTTACATGGATGTTATGTTAGCTGAAAAGGTTATAAGATACTTTGAAGGTTTTTGGCATCAGGTAGGGGAACAGAAAATGAACGGATATACAGAATCACTTAGTAAATGAATAAAGTCATTACTTTTTAAGTTCCTTTAAGGCACAAATGGTTATTACACGACATTAAACAATTTACAACCATTCTATAACTCTATTATTGGTACAGCTATAGAAAAAATGCAGTGCAACTAGGGAAAATGCTGAAAAGTGACCAAAAACTTTAAAGATGTTTCAGGAAGTCTAAAGAGTTGAATGGACTTAAGGTAACAAATAATATTTTTCAAACTTATTCACTTATATTGAGTATCTGTTCTGGATCAGCACTGTCCTGGATGCTACATAATTGTGACCTTGATAACAATGTGTACCTGTCATACTGAGTGTCATGTCCCCGTAGAAGAGCTACACACAATTATTTTAAAATGTCTAATCTATGTGTATATGTATTTGTATATGCATATGTTATGCCAGGCAGTCAAAATCTAAATGCTGTGAAAGAAAGAAAAATAAGTGAAGCAGAAAGAGAATTATGGTAGATGAAGGGCACTCTTTTCATTTATGAGGGTTAGCAAAAGCTTCCCCAGGGAGAAGATATTTAGCCAGGAGCTTGACTAATGTCAAGGATGGAACCATGAAAATATTTGGGGGAAGAATGTTGAAGTTTGAGGAAACTGCCACTGGAGAAGCATTGAAGTAGAAGTAGGAATTTTATGTATGACATGTTCAAATCAAGAAACTAATTGAAAGATTAAACCCCTTATTTGTCTTTTTTTTTTTTTTCAGTACTGGGGATCGAACTTGGGTCCTTGAGCTTGCGCAGCTGGTGGCAAAACCACTGAGCTAAATCCCCGGCCTTTAAACCCCTTATTTGTACAAGATGGTTTAATGATATAAAAGGACAAAGAAAAGACAGAACTACTTAATCTATTTTTGTCTTTTTAACCAATGTAGGACAGTGTTTAAAAATAACAGAAAAATCAAATAATATTAGGGGATAAGAATGTAGTATGATAATGGTCAGACACATTAAATGAGTTAAAAGTCCTAGAATCAGATAATTTATAACCTGCACCTTTCAGAAATTACTGACTACAAGATAGCTGTTAGAGGTATGGACATAGACAGATACATGTTTTCATTTTCAGAAATAATGGGGAATTGTGAAAATTACATATTAATGATGTGCAATTAATCTACATTTAATAGGTAATTTGTCAACACTAGAGGGCCGGGGATTTAGCTCAGTGGTTTCACCACCTGCTGTGCAAGCGCAAGGACCCAAGTTCAATCCCCAGTACCCCCCACCCCCAAAACTAAAAAAAGTCATTCGAAGTTAACATGAGTATACTGTAGGAAGCAATGCTGCACTAGATATCCATTGCTGTGGCAAAATAACTGAAAGAATCAAATTTAAGGGCAGAAAAATTTATTTTGGTTTATAGTTTCAAAAGTCTCGGTTGGTGGTTGCTTGTTCCTGTTACCATAGGACTGTGTGTGGTGGTACATTGTGGTAAGGCATGTGGCCTAGCAGGACTTTTCATCCCTTAGAGGCCACAAAACAGAGAGAGAGGCAAAGGAAGGGGCTAGGGTCCCAGTGTCCGCTTCCCAGTGAGCTCACTCCCACTGGACCCCTTGTCCCAAAAGTTCCACAGCCTCCCAATAGTGCCACAGGCTGTGCCCATGTCCTCAACACATGTGGCCTTTGGTGGACATTCCAGACCCAAACTATAGCAAATGCTAAATTCACTTTCAGTTTTGAAAGTTTACTACTAACAGAGTGAATCAGGGAAATAGCATTGAACAGTGTAAAATTTTTGGCAATGTATTTAATAGTCTCCCATGATATGCTTGTCAGGAAGATATGAGCTCTGCCTGGACAATGGTATTTTTATTTTTATGTGGATTCATAGTTCACCAAACTCCTCTAATTTACATTCTCTGATTATGGAGATAGTTCTGTTGGATCACAAGGATCTAACTCTATTTATATCCTCTTCAGGATCTTTGAACAGTTAAATTGAAGTAATTATGTAATGATTATTAAAAATGTCACAAAGTTATATGGTAGCTAACAGGATCAATGTTCAAATCAACTCTGATAACTAGATTTCTCTATTGAAACTGGAACATAAAATTTAATAGAAATATTTCTAAAAGTTCTCTGTATAAGTGAGAGAGAGGGAAATGTACCAACCCCAAATGTAGGAGACATGACTTGGCAGTTTATCTGAACTGAATCTGCAAGTTGCAATCACTAAATTATTAGTATACATCAGAGATGTCAGTTGTTTTTTGAAAAGCAAAAGCTGTCCTAAATTGAATAGAATGCAAGTGACAAAAAGTAGTAAAGCCAGTGTTATGCCTCAGTTCTATGTAAAGCAATATATATTCACAATAACTTCACCAAAAATATTTACTGCATTGCTACTATATACTTTCAGACATGGCTGCCTCTCTTCAAAGAGATTCCAACTAGTAAGAGGAAGTATTCTTAAAAAGAATAAAACAATGTGGGGTTCTACGAAGGAAATAAAAAAGGAAAGGGGGAATAAATTTGTAATCAATACCCCCTGTATATGAAATAGTGCTTTACTTATATTGTTTCATCTTCACAGCAACCATATGGGGTTGATGTTATTACCTCTAATGTCTTGATGAAAAATATTCAAAGAGCATAAGCAAATTTAAAGGCGATAGACATTTCACTCATTTGGGGATCAGCAAAGTTTCTCTTGCAAGAGATTGTGTTTGAACTGAATCTTGGAAGGGAGAAGGATTTAGATTTGGGGTTGGGAAAAAAGAGCACTACAATAAATACAAAGCAGAAAGGTGCTGGGTTTATTTAGAGGACAGTGTGGAAAATGTGGTCCAAGCAAAGGGGAGTAAGGGAAACTAAATGCTGGAAAGGCAATTTGGAGCCAAACTGTGAAATATCTTGACTGTTAGCTGAGAGTTTGAATTTTATTGGCCTAAATATTGTTTGATAATGATACTAAAATCAACATAAATTCGAGGGAGAAAACACTATGAAAAGAGATTATTTATTCACTTGAGAACCAAAGAGGCCTGTACTGTAGGAATATGGAAATGAGTATGGACTTGAAATATATTTATAAAGACAGGAAGTATTGGACTTGGTAACTGAAGGAATGTAGTGGATCATAGAAAGTGAGGGGCTGATGATTACTATTAAGCCTGGACGAGTGGGAAAATAGTGTTTTCCTTAACCATGATAAACTAAGAACAAAACATAGATTTAGAAAGTAAATGAAGAGTTTAGCTCTGAAATGAGTGAATTTGTGATGCTCATTCTGGTACATACTAGATCATGTTGCCCGGAATAAAATTCCTAGTCAGAGATCTCTTTTAGGGTATGATGGTCAAATACAATCTATGTGAAAGAATCCATCCAGGATAGAAAGAGCCCAGTACACGAAACTATTTGCAGATCAAAATTTAAGAGAAATAAAGAATTATTGAGCTTGCTTAGAAAAAGAGACCTCAAAGAAGCCAATAGATGCGTACAAATATTTTAAATGTTTTGTAGTAAATGAGGTGGATGTGTATTTGATTGATCCAGAGGACAATTTTGTTGTAATTCCATTAAGGTTCTGTTGGCTGTTACCAGATAGGATTGGAGCTGACAGAAGTTGTCAACACACCTCAAAGAAAGCCTGTCCCCCAAAGAGAAACAGGTCTCTGGTGGCGTAACATCAAGTGTCTTTGGTCCTGAGTAAATCTGTAGTAGGAAGTTCACCTGGGAAGAAAGAGGCTAGGGTTCCAGGAGGAGGCTTTGATACACTGCCAAATTCTGCAGTGGTGATGAAAACTAAGTACTGAACAATAGGCCTTGGGCTTGGCATGCAGCATTATTTCAGTAAAATTTTCAGTTGAGTGTCAAGGAAGGACATTAAACTAAAGAGGATTTAGGTGTGATGGGTAATAAGAGAATGGTGCCAGGTGATAAAGGAAATCTGATAAAATATGTTTTTCTTGCACACAGATGCAGATGGTTAAATTATGAGAATTACCATTTTTAATAATTAGGTCATGACCATATATTCAGTTTTCAAAAGAAAAGTCAAGTAAATTTACCTGGAGTTCAGAGAGGTATGACATTTCCATTTTTAATAGGAATTTTGGGGTGAGAAAGAACAGATTTTTATTAATATCTGAAAAGGAAAACAGACTTTTATATTTGTCTTAACTTCCTACTTTCTACTAAAGATGAAAATAAAAGTCATGGAGAAAAATTGAGAAGATAATATTCAGAGGTTGGGAAAGTGGCCATTGCTGCAGGCTGTTTCTACACAAACAAATAAAAGTAAGAGTTAAGCAACTGCCCAACAATGTACTCAGCAAACAGATAGTTTGGTAATCTAACACATATCTGTAGCAGTTGGAATGTGGGTATTTGAGGCATTTGTTCAAATTTCCATTTTGCTTGATTTTTGAAATGAACAACTTGTTTCAGCACCAAGTCTAAAATTTTTGAAAATATATTTCTAAGTATGCTGAGCTTGATGGCTTTCTATTGATATGGAGGATAATATAAGAACATTAATACAATAAGAACAAATAGAAGTCTTCAATTATAATACTGATTTCTTCATAATTAACAAGGTATCTAAAATTCTCAAAAGCTATGGAGGAAAGAGATTTTCAGTTTCTCTAATTGCTGAAAGGTACGAGAAACAAAAGCTTCATTATTAGGTTCTGCACAGCAAGCATTGCAATGGTTACCTTGGGAGGAAAACATCATCCTAATTCCCTGCTTACAAATATAAGAAAAAATTAGATTATAAAGTAAAAGTCTATACATTAAAAATATGAGAAAAGAAGAGTTGAGAAAAATAAATAATTTTTTCAAAAAGAGAGTAGAATGTGCAATTGAGTGGTGGTAAAATTAAAATATGCTACGCCAGAAAAATGGATGAAATTATCAACATTTCATTACTTCAATGTTTAGCTGTATTTTTATAATACTACTGCATATGATAAAACACAGCTTTGAGCCATATTCATCGAATAAATGTTTAGGCACTTCAGAAACAAGCATCTAGGTAGAAAGTACATCATTTCTTTCATGGCAAATGTCAAGCACTGAAATTTGTGGGTCTTGATGAGTCATATGAGTAGGCCAAGGATAATACCTGTAGATATCAAAAGGCCCAAATCTCATGGAGTTGCTTTGTAGTTAGCAACCAATAAATGATCAGTCATACAAACAGTCAAGCAAAGGTAGTATTTTTATACCTGATATGTAGTCTTTCATACACGTAAATGTTGTAGGTGGTGTTTATTTCTTCTGTGAAATAAATTTACTGATTATGAGATATAAAAATGCACTTTTCAGAAACATAGAGCTATTTAATTTGCATGTAACAATGCATAATTGTAGACATCAATGCTAAAAATGTATGAACCCAGTTGTTTGAAAAGAGCCTTCTATATTTTTATTTTACTCAACAGGTTTTTTTCTTTTTTATTTATCTAGTAATGGTATTCCATACAAGAAATCTGGAATAGTTTTTAGAATGGAATGTGATGTTTTGGGTAAGAATTATCTTGGTCATTAGATATAATAATCTCTGATATGAGTGACATAACATTCATAACTTCATGAAATGACACATATAAACACCCAAGTTTAAAAATGAGCCCTCCCATGCATACACATATACACCCCACACCACATATCAAGGTTATTAAATCTTATTAGAAGTTAAGAGGGAAAAGAAGCATTATTGAGGCCACATCTGCACAGAGCTAGTTAATGGAAAGGAATGGAATGTATTGGTATCAAAGGAATATCTTAAATTACGAACCCAGATGTCTTCATCATGGTGGAATGCATAAATTCCAGAGTTTCCCAGAGATTCAAACCTTGGGATCTTCCAGAACCCATCCTAAAACCTTTCAGATTTCAGCCTTAAGAGAATTTGTCTCTTAAGAGAATCTTTAGATAGCTTCTCGGATACTGATTCCTTGCAAAGCACTGGTCTAAAAAATTTTTTAAAACGTCTCAGTAGAGAAACCTAGATCATCATTATGATTCTTCCCGGTTTGTCTCCAGTTCTCTTGCTATCTATTAAACCAAGGAAGCATGGAAACTTCCTACCAAATGTTATGGGAGAAGCATCAGCTATCTGCATACGAAATATCTTTTTTTTCCTTTTGACCACAACATCAGCAGGTGCGGAAGCATCAGGCCCTCTCTTCTTTGGAATTTGAGCTCCCGGACCTGCCTCCCTCCCCGCCTCCCTCCCCTCCTCTCTGCTTCGAGGACGCGCCCTCCGGGACCTGCCTCAGTGCTGGCTGCGGGAATGGGAGTAGGTGGAAAGTAAGTTGCAGGCAGCCCCTCACCTGCCATGCCTGTTGTCATGGAGACGGGATCCAGCGGGAGACCTGGGGTCGCGGAGCGTCCGTGCACGCCGCCGCTTCCGCACGCGTGCGAGGCGCGCTCTGGGGGCCCGCATGGGGCCGCACGACCGCGGCGACCCGCCTTCCCGAGCTGCGTGTGCCAGCACTCGTGCCCATCGGTGTAGACGGTGGCCGCTTCCCACCCCAGAGTGCGCTGCACGCGCCTGTGGATTTGCAGGACACGAGTGTGACAGTGCGTACGTGCGCGCGTGTGGACACGCCTGGCCGGGCCTGTGCGTGGGGCCGAGAGAAGGGAGGGGCGGCCACGCAGCAACAGGCTCTGCTCTTCATCTCGCTGCGAAGGACGAGAGGAAGAAGAGGCCTCAGGCTGACTACAGGCGCGGACCTTCTTTGCTGCCTAGGGCAGCTAGGGGGGAGCATTTTGCTGTGTGCCGTGCAGGGAGCTATGCAGCCACGTCCCTTTCGAGGGCGAAGGGAAAGCAGCGTGGGGGAGCGAAGCGGCGCTGGTTTAACCCGAGACCTAAGGCGTCACTGGGAATTCTGTTCCCCAGCCTTCTGGGTTGCGCCTCCCTTCTCTCCAGGAGCAAGCGCCTGACGCTGTCCGTAGTGCTGAAACGCGCTCCTCAATAGCAGCTAGAACGAACCAAGACAAGCAAGGAAAGCTCCAACAAAGCCCTCCGGTAGCTGCGAGGCACTGTTCCTAAACTGCTGAATATGTAGCTTGCAAATAAATCACGTTGGAAGCAAAGCGGAACACATCAAAGCAACAGAACCTCCTCCCTCCCCGCACTTTAGGGCTCTGCTTGTCTCTCCAAACCTAGTGGTAAGTTTCCCAGGCCTACTCATGTTTGACCCTGTATCCAGAAACTACAATTTGCATGCACCTGTAGATTTCCTGCACATTCAGTTATTCATCTTATGAACTATGGAACTGTCTGTTTGAGGAGAAAATGTAAATATAGAACTGAAACATCATTCATGTTTTAAAAAATCAAAAGCTGAGAACATATAAGTGACCAGGTTAAAAGGTGAAGATAACATTTATGATGATTTGAAGTATTTACTAATTTAGGAAATTTAATACTCTTTAAGAAATTGGACAAAGTAGAATAGAAGTTCAAATGGGGTAATACAAGAAAAAAGTTGTCCTTTTTAATTTAAAGCTATTAAAACATCCTAAAACGTTAGCTCAGTACTCATTATGAAAGTGGAAGGTGTATCTTCTTTTAGTGACATTTTCATAGCTATGGTTTTATTGACTTTTCAAACCATATGAAGGGCCACATCCTTTATACACCCTGGGCTAGAACACTTCTTCTTGAAATTTAATGCACATGTGAGTCCCCTGAGGATCTTTCTAAAGAAAATACAAATTCTGATCCAGTAGGTGGGAGATTGGGTCTCAGAGTTTCCATTTCCAAAAACATCCTAGGTGATGCCAGGGATTGCTAGTCTTGGAACCACAACACACTTCCACTAATAAGATGCTGGTGATAGTGTCTTTTGGCAACTATGCTACTCATAGTTTCTGAGAAAGGAATGCATTATCTTACCTGCCTTACTCTGTGTTTCTAAAGTGTTCTTGCAAGAACAATCTATTCAAATCATCCCAAAAGTTAATCATGTAAACATTTTGCTTGTACAGTATTACCAAATCATTTGTAAATTTGATTCATTTGATTTTGATTTTGGCATTGTTTGGACCCATGCTACAGTAAATTCCACTCTATGATCTGCAAGCATGTATTCTCCTTGTAAGCCCAGCTCAAAGGAAGAGAATCAAGTTACAAGAGTCTGTCGTTGATATATTAGCTCTATTTTAAGAATTTGCTATGTTTGGGGATTTTTGACTTGGAAATTGTCAATACTCAATGAAGCTGATTTTTGAAATCTGGATGTTACAGATCTAATTCTCACTCAGTTTAGAAAGTGGGACTGGATGATTATTTCATATATCATGTGTGTAGCCATTGATCTGTCATATTACTGACAACATCAAGGTACAAGGTGTTATTGGAATATGTGGTGAATGTTAAATTTAAAAATATTTATTACAGTGAAATGCACATTGGCATAAATTCCTTCAAAATATTCTCCCTTGTTTCAAACACACTTAGCCCATCACTTTTGACATTTCCGGAAGCAGTTCCAGCAATTCTGGAGGTCTTTTTCTGTGAGTGTCTTTATTTGCACTGTCATGACTGTCATGGCTGTCTTGATGTCTGGAATTGATTAAAAACATTTATCTTTCATGGTCATTTTGATTTGGGGGAAGAGCCGGAGCTCACGTGGTGCCAGATCTGGCGAATAAGGTGGTAGAGGACACACTGTAATTTTTTTAAACAAATTTTCCTTTCCATTGGATGACATTTGACAATAGCATTCACTGTATTTTTTTATCACATCATACAGACACTCACCAAAGAGGACTTCTAGATCTGCTTTCGAAAGTGGCAAGAATGAATGAGTGTGTTTGAAGAGAGGAGGAGTATTTTGGGAATTAATGGCAATGTCTTTTGCTGTAATAATTTTTTAAAGTTTAAATATTCACTGTATGTTGATCACATCTCATACATAGAGTTTGAAGGTTTCTTTGGCTGATTTTCTGTTTTTAAAAAATTTATACCTACATCACTTGAGACAGTGCTTCCAGTTAATGCTCTTGAATTGATGCCAAAGGAAGGCTTTAACTATAAATTAGGTTCCTTGGTGTTAGTTGGTACATGACCTTGACCTTTTTCAAGCTATATAAAGGGAGGTAATACTCTCAAAACTCTGCAAAGTATGGGCCGGGGGTTTAGCTCAGTGGCACCACGGCTGCCTCCCAAGTGCAAGGTCCTGAGTTCGATCCCTGGTACAAAAAAAAAAAAGTCTGCGAAGTGGCTCATTCTGGAAAGCATAATGGATTAAAAAATCCATTGTGTTCCACTTCCTTTGCTAGATGCTGGGATACAAAGATAAATGAGATTGTTCTTTGCCCTTGAGGAAATAAATTGTAAAAGAACAACATGGCAAGTTCTACAAAGTTCATAGGAACAGAGAAATTAATATGCTATTTATATTTTGTTGTCCATTGCCAAAGAAGGGATAAAGAATTACAAAAGGTGAAACAAAACAGTTGCACTTCAAGTTCTTCCCCAATTTAAAAAATATTGTTGAAGGATATGAAATATATGGATGCTCTCCTAAAGCTTTTGTGGTTTATTGTACTTCCAGAGAGACTACTATTTATCTTCAGAGCAATACAATTAGAAAGGTAAATAAATATATATGTGTAGGATTTTTTTATCTTTGAAGGTAGAATTGCTTTTACTATGTTTTGACATTATATGCCCAGCTTAGACAAAAATGTTCTATAAGAAACAGTTCTCAGTTTATACACCTTCTGCACAGGGCTGTCACTAAAGTCTTCATCTATACATCACTATTTTTTTTAGTAAGATACCTAAGGAATTTAACTCCTTTAAATATTTCCTCAAAAACATTTCTTTCAATACCAGCTTCATGACTTGAATTCTTACACTCTTTCTCCTCAAACCAATCCAGGATAGATGGTGTTTTCTGTTCTTATACAATGAAAATTGTGTAACTGATCACATTATACTCTTTCTTTTAGTTACCAAAGATGTGAAAGTTAATGGAACAGCTAAAAATTAATAAAAATCTTAAGGCTTTCATACTTGTAATCTTTCTCTATTGTGTTAGGTTCTTGCTATTGTTTAGATCTAAAATATCCCCCTAAAGTCTCATGTTCAGAGATGGGGCTTGTTTGGAGGGGGCTGGGAGCAGGGCTTGGAAAGGTGGAGACTCATCCTGGCCTGTTCTTTTGCTCTGTTTCCTGGCTACCATCCAGGGAACAGCTGTCCTCTGCCAAACCTTCCTGGCATGCTGTTTCTGCCTTGGAGGCAGCTGTCCATGGACTATACTCACTGAAACCGAGCCAAAATAAAACTCTCCTCCTTTAAGTTGTGGGTGTCATATATTTTTTCCTAACCACAGGAAAGTGACTAATATACTACTGAAATCTGGTTTTCTCTGATAATGGTATGTTATTTTGTTTTAATTATTTATATAAATATCCTCATAAAATCAGAAATGGAGTAAATAAATGTTTACTTTCAGCCTCTTAATGTTGACTATTGAATGAGCATAATGGTTGTTTTATAAATTTCTTTTCAATGGGATACTAAAATATAGAAACATATGTCAGTAATTAGCTAGGGAGATAAAATTCTAAATCATAATGAGTAAATATTAAAATGTTTAATAGGTAGAAGAAATTTTTATTTACATAATTACAGATCAGATTAACCTCAAAACATTTCATTTCTTTGTTTCTTTTTCTATACTGGTACTAGTGTTCCTTGTATGACTAGGACTTTTTGTTATGTCAGAGTTTGGATACATTAATTATCTACCTTATTAGAAGGCATGATGACTATAGGAATTTACAAAGCATGACAACCACATTCTAATGAATACACACTAGAAAGCGTGTCAGAACCTGGAAGAAAGAATTTCTTCTAACATTCAGCTCAGGATTCTTTCCAGAGGGAAATTTTGCTTGCATGAATTTTGCCACCTTGGCTCCAGTTGGCTTCTTGCTTGGAGATTTTGTACAGCTAGATCACTCCTTGCAGTTATAATAAGGCCAAGATATTACTTTCAACTTTTCAGGAAAATCTACATCTTGTCTGGCTGAAGTTTAGTAGTTCTTCCTGAGATAAAATGTTTAATGTAGTTATGGCCTCTTATTTGAATATTAGTATTGACTCACACATTGGATTCCACAACTTTGAAATGAAAAAAATTTTCGAACGTGTTAAAGACAAACACAAATTATTTTTGGTATGACTATTTGTTAGATTAATGCTTACACTAGGTTTAGATGATAGGTGATAATTAGCTATACTAAAAAGTCAACTTTTAAAATGCACACCTACCTATTTTGAGTCATTTTTAGTTATGCGTGCTTCTTTTTTTCTGCCTGGGTTATTTTAACTTTTTTTGAAGGGTATTTAAGAATGATTTTGAAATTTCAGCAAGAAATATATTCTTCCTCTCTAAAAATACATATATACAGACATCTTGTTCATGATTCAGGCATTCATGGACATTCAGAAGCTCATTTCTGTAATCCTACTTCTCCTCTACATGCGTGGATCTTAATCTCATTTCCAGTTTTGTAAATATCAAATGGCTTATTCTGTATTTTAAAAATTATCCTATGTTTTCTATTTTTTTTCTGTAGCATTCTTCCTCTAGGTCATTTTACCATTGATTTCTCAAGAGTAGTCAATGCTGAATGTGCTGAACACGGATTAGAGTGTACAGTAATAGGATGATTAGATTTGATTTAAACATGACTGTGTTGGATTTGTCAACAGTGAAGAAATTATCTAAGTGCGTGGACTCATGAGAGAATTGAGCATGATGGCACTTCACTGTAGATTAATGATCAAATGCTGGCCTATCTGATGAGTCCCACTGAAAATGAGATGTGATGTTTTGCTGCTAAACTTTTCTGCAAGAAAAACGCACTAAATGTTTCAGTTCCAAGTGACCCATTTAAATGAAGTTTTATTTAATTGGTTTTAATTTTACTGCCCATAAAACTTAGTTTCATTTAAGTTTATGTCAAGCCCTTGGACTGTATTTAGCCTTGAATCTGATATGAAAAGATAACTTTAGCACAATTTCTACCAATGAGTGAGTTATAAACAGTGTCACATATAGAAAGTGGCTTAAGTTATGTTAGTTGGTTAAAGAAACATAGAAACAAACACAGTTCCTTTTTAAATTACAATGTATGCTTTTGTAATATGAATCAATTAATCCATAACTGACATATAGAATGTCAAAAGAATGTGGAAATACATTGTTTTATATGTGATTTATCCCAGTACATGAATGTTTTTACTACCAAGTAAAAGGAGCTGAACTTTAAGCCCTCTAGCACTGCGGAGAGCAGTGGAGGTACGTAGTCCTATGTCTCATGCCGATTTTCTTCCTCTTTCCCTCCTGGCTGTTTGATCACTTGCTCTCTTGCAAGTACATATTAAGCCAGGTGTGGTGGTGCTCACCTGTAATTCTAGCACTCGGGAGGATGACACAGGATAATTGGCACAAGTTCAAGGCCAGCCTGTGCTACATAGTGAGGCCTCTCAAAAAAAAAAATGCATGTTGCACAATTCTTTCTGAACTTTGTGCATTTGCCCCTATTTTCATACCTAATCTTTCCTCATATTTTTCCCCATCATTTGTTTTTAACACATTTATGAAGTTTTAAATATATTGTGAAATACATTTGAACTTGTATTTTTAATAAGCTACCATTTTTATTGGGCTTGTAAATTTTTAATAGTGTTCTGGTTGTCATGTTGCATAGCTTTTATGCTGCCCCCCACCTTGCCAGTTATTTTATAAATTGAATAGATTTTATTTTTAAAGTAGTTTTAGGATTACAAAAACTGTCAAGTAGAGAGCACAGAAAGTTTGCAAATGTCTCCCTTCCCGTCACAGTTTCACCTGCTAGTATAGTAACATCTTGAATTAGTGTGGTACGTTTGTGAACGTACCACAATCGATAAATCAAGATTAACACAATTCCGTAAGTTATACCAGAGTTCGTTCTTTGTGTTACTCAGTTTTATGGGTTTTGACAAATGTACAAATGTTATGTATCCACCTTTATATTATCATGTAGAATAGTTTCACATCCCTAAATATCCCGTATTCATCCTTTCCCCTCAAAGTCCCTGGATATTATCGATCTTTTTACTGTCTCTGTATTTTTGTCTTTTTCAGAATGAATGTACAGAGTACATAGAGTTTATTGCCTTTTCAGCTGGACGTGTTCACTTAGTGATTTGCATTTAAGCTTCCTCTATGACTTTTTATGGCATGAAAGCCCATTTCGGTTTATTGCTCAAGAGTGTTCCATTGTATGGCTATACCACAGTTTACCCATTCCTCTGGTAAAGGATGTCTTTGTTGCTTCCAATATTTGGCCATTATGAATAAAGATGCTAAATATTTGTGTGCAGACTTTTGTGTAGACGTAAGTTTTCAGTTTATCTTGGCAAGTAATTAAGGGATTGGTTGCTGGATTGTTTGGCAAGGTTTTTGATGTGCTTTGTAAGAAACTGTCATACTGGCTTCCACAGTGGCTGTATGGGTTTGTATTCCTACCAGCAATGAATGACAGTCATCAACATACGGCTTTGGATTTAAGCCATTCTAACAGAACTAGTTACTTTTCACAATTTTTAAACATAATATTCTATATTTACAGTAGTCCTTACATGACTTTCTCTAGACTTCACATGATGCTCAAAGGAATGAACACTTGGGAAGAAAGAGTCTGATTTTTCAGAAATGTTACTGACATTAGTTTGCAGACATATTAGGTGGCCCGATGCAGAAGTCTAGTTTTTAGTCCATGGACATTATGCAAACTCACCATTCCTCTGAGACTTTGGAGCTATCAGAATATCTACCCTGACAGGACTACTGTGCAATTTTCTTAGTGACCTCAGGATATGGCTGGGAACTTACATTTGAAAATTGTCAGTGGAGTCAAGAGAATAGTGTGTCTTAGTCACTTTCTTCTCACAGGGGTAAAATATCTGACACCCACAATTTAAAGGAGGAGAGGATTATTTCAGTGCACAGTTACTGTCCATGATCAGCTAGTTCCAGGGCAGGATGACATGGCAGAGGGGCATAGTGGAGGAAAAGCTGCTTACTTCATGGTGTGCAGGAAGCAAAGAGTGAAGGTAGGAGCTGCAGAGCGAGATAAACCCTTCCAAGCCACACCCTCAAAGACCACCTCTTCTGAGCAAGTCCCCTCTTCTAACAGCATATTCAGCTATAAATTCATCAGTAGGCTAATCCACCGATGAGTATACAATCACCTCCCTTAAGACCCATCTACAGTTGCATGAGGCTTTGTAGGGACATCCAGATATAGAGCACAACATTCTTCCCCTGGTCTCCCAAAGACTCATGCACATTTCTTTACTCAAAAGGCATTTAGTCCATCTCCAAGAGTTGCCAAAGTCCTAAGAATTCCAGCATTGCTGAAAAGTCCAAGTCCACAGTCTCCTCTGAGACTTAGCTGTGAGTCCCTGTAAAAATTAAAAAGAAAGTTAAACACTACCGATATGTAAGGACACAGGGTAAATATTTCCATTCCCAGATGGAGGAACACAGGATAGGAAGGAGTTGGACAAAAGCAAGACTGAAACCCACAGAGCAAACAAAATCCTGTACCTCTGTGTCTTAGTTAAATTTCTTGTCAGTGAGACAAAATCCTGGACACCCAAAGTTAAAAGGATGAAAGGTTTATTTCAGCTCCCAGTTTGCAGAGGCTTCAGTCTGTAGTCAGTTGGCGCCAAGGAAGGGTGGCATTGTAGAGGAGTATTGCAGAGGAGAAACAGTTCATGATATGGCAGGCAGGAGGCAGCGAGCAGCAAGCAGCCAGCCTGCCTTTCCTTTTATCCCAAACAGGCTACCAGCCTTTTGGGTGGTGCCACCCAGAACTATGCTAATTCCAATCTGTGGACTAATTTAGTACCACACATCCTTAATCTCAGTATCACATGCTCTATATCCAGCCAGCTCCAAAAAGTCCCACCATAGAATGCATGAGGCTTTGGTGGGACATCTGGATACAAGCCATGACACTCTGTGACCAGCACCCAGGGCAAACTGTGATAAGATGTGAACTCCAAAGGGCTTGGGTAGCCCTGCCATAGAGGGCTTCTCTCTTGGGCTGGCTTTGCTCACTGGTTTTGGCTTCCCACAGACATTCTACACTCCTGGCTTCTCCAACTTCTTGGGGTCTTCACTGCACTTTTGGCTTCACTGTCACAGCTTCACACATTGCCCTCTCAGGGGCACACTGCTTGGTCTCCCAGGCCTTCTGAAATCTGGTTGTAACCCTCCATGGACCTGTAACTCCTGCATTCTACATGCCTATAAAATTAGCACCATGTGGATGATGCCAAGGTCTGCTGCCAGGTCAAAGAGTAGGTAGACCCCTTTCAATCATGGCTTCAGAGGCCTCTCAGTGTCTGGATGGTTGAGTACAGTGAATGAATCCTGGGGAACCAATTCACTTAGCAATCCTTCTCCAGGACAGTGTTTGGGGCTCTCTTCTCAAGTGAAAACTTTACAACCTTGCACCCTGTAGTCTCCAAAAGAAGATGTCTGGCTGATTTCTGACAGACCCTTAGGCCATTTTGTCCTGATCTAAAGTACATAGCTTCTTTTTAATGCTAATCTTTTCAGCAACCAAACTCTCCTCCACTCCATCATTGCAGGCCCTTCCTTTCTGATAAAACTGAAAAGCTTTGAAATGGGCTTTTGCTCTTGATTTTCTGTATTAATGCAGCTAAAAGTCCCCAACAATATCCATGTCACAGCACCAACATTAGGCTGCCTTGAAATTTCCTCTGCCAGATTAATTAGTCAACTGCCCTTAATATCAGTCTTCCACAAAGTCTCAGGACATAAGGAAAATGTAGACGAATTTTCTGCCAGTATATGACACATATGGCCTAGAATCCAACTGGCAATGGAGTCACTGTTCCCAATTGAAAACTCCAAACCTGGCCTTTACTGTCCACATATGTATGACCACTCTGGTCTTCTGAGCTCTTACCAGAATCTCCCATCAAGCTCAGCTCACAGCATTCTAGCACTGCTTCTCCAGACAGCATCTCTAAACCTTTCCAAATTCTGCCTGAGAACCAGTTCCAAATCTTCCTGAATTACATAGGTATAGTACTGATAATGATCCCACTTCTCTGGTACCAAAATCTGCCTGAGTTACTTTTGTTATTGTTGGGACAAAAAACCCTACGTACACAACTTAAACGAGGAGAGGTTTATTTTGGCTCACATGTTAGAAGTTTCAGTCTTTGCATGGTCAGCTAGCTCCAGGCAGAGGGAGCATGGCAGAGAGGGGTATGGCAGGGGAGAGCTGCTTGGGTCGTGGTGGACAGGAAGCAGACAGTGAAGGGAGAAGCTGGGGAGGGAGATGCACACTTTCAGGTCATGCCCCTAAGGGTCCACCTCTTCTGATTAGTCTCTACCTTCTAACAACATATTTAACTATCAATTTACCAGTGGACTAATCCACTGATGAGTATCGAAGCACCTGCCACAAACACTACTTATGAGCACATTGGACTTTGGGGGAACATCCAGATAAGATCATAGCCACGTGCCACAAGGTTTCTACAGTCTTTGTCTTATTGTGCGGTACAGGCATTTCTAAATGTAACAGATATAACGAATGAATGGATTGTTCAAACCAAGTAAAATAGAGATAAGCTTAAAAATCACCCAAGAAGACAAAACCAGTTAGGCCATGCAAGCAAAACTGAATTTAGGTTGTTCCTTGTAAATGTCTGTGATATTGATAGGTGAAGCTTAAGTTGTTTTCCAAAAACACACAAGAGGATCACTTTTAACTAATGGTTTGCCATCCAAAAACCTCTGTGATAACTCCCAATCACTGCAAAGACTAAAACCTTTTTTTGGGCTGGGTTGTAGCTCAGTGGTAGAGCTCTTGTCAACCATGACTGGGCCGTAAGTTTGCTCCCTAGTGGAGGAACAACCAACAAACAAACTCATTTTTGTTTTATAAGACGGCCTATAATCCTTTGCCTCTGCTTTTCTTTCTATAATTTTTCAGTTTGAGGTCTCCCCATTTTCAAACTGATCTTTGTGTGCATATTAAACTTTAATCTTTTATTTGATCTTATCTGACTTTTGACAGGATGAAGAAATGAACAGAGTAAGCTGCTCTTTTGTGTGTGAGTACCTCAGAAAGTAGGTTACATGGCTGAGAAACTGGGCCAACACTGTCCTATTGATACTCAGCATCATGCTCAGCCTTCTAAGCCCTCCCTCTTATGAGACATTTCTCAAATTCTGCTGTCAGTGTCTTTTGACCTAAATTCTGCAATGAGGAGTACATTTGGAATTATGAAGAGAAGGAGAAACTGTTCATCTCAGCTACAGCCACAGGTAACTTTGTGAGGTCAGCAAGTGGCAGACGGGGTGCTCTGTGGGCAGATGCTGGGCATCAGGAGTCCTGAGACCGATCCACTCTGCAGGACACAGGGGTCATTGCTGGTGCTTTTTACTCCTGTCCTTAATTTTTTGAGTTCTAGCAGTGACTCCTAGACTTTGGTTCTCCTAGCCCTTTGTGTTATTATGAAAACTTCTAAGACTGAATTTTTTCTTACAAAAAATGTCTAAATATTTGACTGAATTAAAAACTTAATTTTTTTCCTGCTTGAAAAAATAAGAAATGAAAATCTGGAAATACATGTTTGTTTTCATACAATCTGCATCTGTATATATAACATTTAAATGATTTGTGAATTGAAGGATATTGATATGAAATCACCACAGTCTACCCTTCTGTGATGTGCCGTGACAAAAGGAATCACATTTGCAAACTACTGAGAAACTGTTCTTCTTGCTGAATTAGATTAATAAGCAGCCATCCAGAATAGTGTGACTCTGCTGAAATGGGGTGTAATAGAGGAAAAGGGTGCACTTTTCAGGAAACAGAGGTACAGACAGCCAACGGTGATAGCTAAAGGAAATGAAAATGATTTCTCTCCCCAAACATGAAGTTTAGTGAAGGGAAGTCCAGGGCTTATGCAAAGGCTGTTTAAGGTCCTGGTGTTTTGGTTTCTTTCTTTTCGGCTTTGCCATCCTGAGCTTGTGGGGTTTTCCTCACCCTGGTTAATTCACAGTTTCAAGATGCTAAGGTAGGGAAGGAAAGCAAAGTACTTATGAGGAAGGTAAAAAGCAATGAAATCTAGAATTCCGGGTATATTATTCCTTACAACTCATCCGATAGATCTGTGTTCCATGTCACTCCTAATATTTTCAGTTGGCACATTAGGACCCTAAACAAAATCACAATGCTGTCAGTAAGGAATATGAAGAATGGATATCAGATAGGAAACCTGTGGTGGTCTATAGCCGCAATCAAAGGAGTGAACCAAAACAAATGTAGATGATGTATTCAGAAAAACATTTTTAAAGTAGTAATTGAATGACCATGGTGTGGAATAAACTGTTGAGTAAATCAGTCATTCAAATTACAAACTATGAGCATCAATGTTAAGTTTAGTTGTAAGACCCCAAGTGACAGCAATTAAGCAGGCTGGAAGTTTATTTCTTCTTTTTTATTAGTTTATTTCTTCTTGTTGCATTTGGGTTCCGATCACAAGGTGACTCATGGTCCGACATGATTGCTGCTCTTACAGACATCATTGGTCCCTTCCAAGCCAGCAGCAGGAGGAGGTCAAAGAGGACAAAGGGGTTGATCTCCTGGATAAGGGGTTTCTACTCAGGAACTTCTGGTGTGGTCCTCATACCATTTCTACTTATATTTTACAGTCCCTCTGGCACGTGTGGCTGCTAGTGAGGCTAGGAGATACACACTTTCAGTAACATTCATAGTTAGTATAAATAAATTTGTTTCTTGTCAGCAAATAAAAATAAGAAGACAGATTTTTTCAGTTATTATTTCAGTCTTCACTATCTATAGGATTATCATCAAATATACTGAATTGCATGTGAACTTAACCCTATAATTCATCACTCTTAAGAAATGTTTTCCAAATGTTGACACTGAAAATTGAGAATGATGTTGCAAAAAGTGTAATTATTTAAATTAAAAAACAATAGTTGAGCTTGGTGTGGTGGTATATGCAAGCCTGTAATCCCAGTACCCTGGGAAGCTGAGGCAGGAGGACCACAAGTTCAAGTCCAGTTTGGGCAATTTAGTAGGACCCTATCTCAAAATAAAAAATGAAAAGGGCTGGAGATGTAGCTCAGTATGAAGGCTCTGGGTTCAGTTCTCTTACTGAAAAAAATTGGTATAAAGCAATCCTCTTCATTAATATTCTTTGAGCTATGATACCAAACTGAGGATGGTTAAAAATATTGCCATATTTCAGACGGCTTGAGACCAAGGTAGTCCAATTCCAGGAATTACTAAGCCAGAGAGTACCTGTCTTAATTCTAAACATCACTTACTAGTGGAGACCTTTCTATAGGATGTATGTTTGGAATATTAAATGCTGAAAAAATAGATGCCTAAATCAAGCAGAGTGGTGGTAGTGGTCAGAGAAAGAGAGAGGAGAGAGAGAGAGAGAGAGAGAGAGAGAGAGAGAGAGAGAGAGAGAGAGAAACAGATCAGAATAAGATTAAATTTCCTTTCTACTGTCCATAACCAACATCCACATTTTCACCAAAAGAATGAGTTTCCTTTTAGTAAAAAAGGGAAATAAATATAAATGGGGTTTAAATATACCCCCTAGTCCTTTTAGAAGTTATAAATTCCTCTAACTTCAAAAAAGAAAGAATATTTTACTTTCTAAACTTTGGAAAGTCAGTGCTTCCAAAACAAGCATTCATGTATATACTCAATCAGGAAGACTGACTTACAGATCAAACTACACTTTTTGTTTCGCTTCATTTTGCTGCGCTTTACCATTTAATTCTTAATCACAAGGGAGGCGATCACATCCCAGGTCCCACTCTGCGCCCTTCTTCGGGAATTGACTCCCTGGGTGTCCACTGCCACAGATCCAACCGCCAGCCCCTGGAGCTCCACTTCTAGCCCATCACTGGGCTCCAGGATAGGACGCTCCCATCTTTGCTGCCTGCATACCAGGTGGCCACCTCGGCCCCCGGGGCACCCTTGAGGATCCTGGGACTTGAGAGATGAGGGGGAGCTGGTGCTGGATCCTGTGGTGATGGAACAGCCGCTACACCTTCCCTGGGATGTTCTCCCTGTACTTCTTTGCACTGAAGACAGAAATGAAGTCCAGCTTGTTTAAGGCACCATATTTCTAGTCCCTGCCACACAAGATTTCTTCAATTATATCTGTGTTTATATCTATCTCTATATATTCAGTTATTTACTAAATGATTTTGGAATTTTCAGCCCACATTTCTAGATATGTGCAATATTTTCACACACATACACACAGATTTGTTGTAAGCAAATCAAGTGGTTATGTGACACTGTACCAGAAATACTTTTTGTGCACTTGCAAAAGATAAAAATTTTGCAGTGGGAACCATGAGGAGATACAAAATTTGAGCATCATTTAAGAATTTTTCAATGTGCATACCTATACTAAAACAACCACAAAAAACAGGAGATAGTGAACAGGGGAGGAAAATGTACACATAGAATCCAGCAATGAATTACTAATAGCTATGTTTTCTTTATCTTTTGCAGATTTAGCTAAGGCAAGAACAATGTTAACAGAAAGAGAGAGGAGAAAAGATCAATGTTGACAGCACTGCCCCAATACTTCCCATCTTTCAAGATCCAGCTCTTTTTGCAAACCCTCACTGATCCCTGGTAAGAATTAATCTCCACTCTTTATGCATTTATCAAACCAGGACTAAGAGACAGCATGCTAGAAGCACTTGACTTAGGTCTACAATTTATAGGGGCAATCAAGATATTTTAATGGCGTATTTTTATTGGTACATTACGGCATGCGAGACATGTCTCTTGCATTTGTAAATAATTTTAAATTATATTTTGCCCCCTTTCTCTGACAGCACTGAAATTTTGTTTGTAAATAAATTTTAAACAACACTGCTCTCATATCTATTATAGCACTCAAATAGTTCTTTTTATTACAGTCCTCCCCTGAGTGCTACTCATTTTTGTGTTCTTCATCTGTCCATTACTCTGATTTTAAGCATGAAAACCTCTTTAAAAACATTGAATTGAACTGATGAAAGATTTTTGCAAAAATCTATTATATCAGCAACTGTGAGATTAAATTTCATTAAGTTCAACTGTAGCACACCACTCTGGAAATCAGTATGGAGATACCTCAAAGAACTAGGACTGGAAGTCCCATTTGACCCAGCTATTTCCCTGCTGGGTATCTTCCCAGAAGAATTAAAAGAATCATACCACAGTGATATATGTGCACCCATGTTCATAGCAGCACAATTTGTAATAGCTAAAACTTGGAAGCAGGCCCACATGTCCATCGACTGGAGAGTGGATAAAGAAAATGTGGTTTTTTAATAAAATGAAGTACTACTTAGCCATAAAAAATGAGAAATTAGACATTTATAGCTAAATGGATGCACACTGAGGTGATACTCTTAAGTGAAATAAACAGGACACACGTGTAAATACCGAATAGTTTCTCTAGTGTGAGAAACTGAAAGTGCAAGTAAGGGTTAAAAGGTATAACAGATAATGTGAAATAGGAAGAAAAGGGGCAAAGGGGAGGGGGAAGTGGGAAGGGTAGGAGAAAGGAAAGAAGGGAATGAAATTAATATGAGAAAATGAAAAGATGGAAACAGTCTTTGTAAATAGGGAGGGATGGAGGGGTTGACGGGACGGCAGGGGAATGGGTAAGAAATAAGAACCAAGAGAGATTATATTAAGGTGCAAATTTCCAGTGATGAATGCCATTATATTGTATACCTAAAATGTACCAACAAAATTAATAAAAAAAAAGTTCAACTGTGGCAAAGGAATAACAGGGAATGAAGAATACTTTGAAAGTACTGGTAACTTAGTACCATAGGAAAATCACCTGGTTTCTTTGACTAAAGCCCTGCCCAAGGCTTTCAGACATAGGAATTTAATACCCTGTACTTCGTCCTATACCTATAAAGAGCTATCTTTTAATCCTCAAGTCAATCCTGCAAGGCAGGAACTGTTGTCCTTATTTACCGTGCACAGTGAGGAGGACTCGCCTAAGGAGTTACAGGCAGAAAACTTGGGAGCAGGGGCTCCAACACTTGATTTTTCTCTGCTACATCCGGTGGTCCTTGCGTTACTCCAAACGCGTGGGCTCAGAGGTGACTGGGGATCAACAATTTATGTAGCAAGCACCATAGCACGCGTTGTGCTTATAAAATAATGTAGGCAGTCCCTCAGCGGCAGTATTTTACCAAATATTCTTGTCATGATTAAAATGAAAATGTTCTTATAAAGTCAGTCAACTCTAGGCATTCAGTCAGATATTTTATAGTATTTTTGGCAGGTGGCAGAAACCTACACATTGCAGAAATTATGCGTTGAGTTTCAGTTTCTCAGTACAACTTTAGTACGAACGTGCGCGTCCTATTTTGCAAAGCATGAGAACCATGTATCTCCACCTTTAGGAAAAGACGTATTTGGAAAGGTCTTTGAACTTTTCAGCTGAAAAGGGCTGTTTTAGTGTTAAGTATAATGACAGTGCCCAAGAGTTGACCAATGTTAATACGTTTTTTTCAGACTTTGGGAAAAAAATCTGACTTTAAAAATGTTGTATGATGAATAAATTCGAGAGCCTGTACCTGCTTCTTGTAGTAGCCACCAGCTCTTCATAAACACATAACCAAAACCCCAAATGTCCATTATTTGCCGACCCATATGAAAATTATGGATCTCCCCAATGACTGCTGCCCTAAGAAATTGTTTTTATTTTGCCCCCTAAGCACATAGCCGAGTCCCAAACAAATCTTCCCCCTCTGGGACAGCCAGTCCCGTCGTCCGGATTCCCAGGCACCCACAGAGGCACCCGCCGGTACCGCGGGGACTGCGCGCGCATCTCTGACGCACACGACGCCCACCCGGCTGGCCGCGGAGGATCCGGGTCCTCAGCGCGACCCTCGGGGCCGTGGGAGGGGCCTGGCCACGCCCCCTCCAGACTCGCGCCCCCGCCCCCCCATCGCCCGCGCGCGCCAGTTCTCGCGAGATCGGGCTGGGAGCGCTCGGGGCCTTTTCAAACCCGGGTCCGTTACCGCTCCCGGCCACGCCGCCGCCATTGTCGCGCGCGGAGCCCTGAGCGAGCGCGGCGGCGCGATGGCGGACACCGACAAGCCCACGGTGGCCGGCGACGACAGCCCGCGCCCGCAGCCTGCCGAGCCCCGCGCCCCCGAGCCCGACAAGCAGCCGCCGCGGAGCAGCTCCAACGGCGTGACGATGTATGGTGTCTCCTCAGGGGCCGGGCCGGGCGGGGACCGGGGAGCAGGTGCAGCCCCGCCGGGCGTCCCGCAGGCCGGGCCGGGCCGGGGCCCCCCATTGGCGCCCCTGCCCCCGGGCGGCGGGGAGCGGTCCCCAGGCCGCGGCTCGGGCGTCGCTAAGGGGTACCCAGGGATGACGTCATCGGCCGCCCCGCCCCCGCCCGGCTCCCGGGGCGCCTCTCCCAGGGGTGCCCTGTAATTTCCAGAGCGATTCCTGCCGAGGGGAAGTGTGATCGTTTCCCCTAGGCCGCTCCATTGTGTTTCCCTGGAGTCGGCCACAGGTGCGCACTTGGAAAGGGGAAATGAGCTTTCCTCACCCCCCTGGTGATGCTGGTCAACTGTGCAATCTGCTTTAAAAAATTAAGTGCTCGGTGGGCTTCATCTTGGTTGAATGGTAAAATAAGTTTTTACAAAAAAATATTTATTTTGTGGTGCACGGGATGAACCCAGGGCCTCATACATGCTAGGCAAGTGTTGGATCACAGAGCTACAGCCCCAGCCCTCATAATAACCCCTAATAAAGAAAACTTACTACTTTAAGGTTGCATCTGTCACGAGTGCCTATAAAAATGTCAGCTGACTCAAATCTTCAGCAGTTTTATTCATAAGGACACGTTCTAGGGACATGGTATGCTCACCTCTCTTGTCATGTGGGATGGTAGGAAGGCAAGCATGTGTTTTCATGTGCCTAACTCTTCTTTAACGCGAAAGTGAAATTATTTAATGGAAACACCCTCTTTCTTCCTTCATTTCTGACTCAAGAGTAGATTGCAGGAAATACATGCTTATAATGGAACTGGAAAGGTAAATGTCTGATTTTTTCTTTTGTGTAGAAATGTTTGAAAGTGTCTGGTACCACCTGGACCAGTCTTTGAGGGTTGATTTTAGAATAACACTCCCTGCTTTGTTGACAGTCTTGCCTTTAAGTGGGTTTCAGTAGGCAGCATTTTCTAGGCCAGTGGCAGCCAACATAGTATGGCATGCATACTGCAGTGGGCTGTTTATATCATTGAAAGCTCTAAAAGGAATCTAGGGACCGTACAGGGGATAGAGTATAGGTGAAGAGATTGGAAGCCAGCAGAACTTGTTCTTGGATGTAAAGTGTGTATGGCCTTCAGTAATTGAGAAATCAGTAGGTGAAGCATTTTCTGCCATGCTTGCCAAAATGTGGGCCTTTAGGGATTTGGCAGTAAAATAGAAACTAAAAACAGTGGAATGATAGACTACAAATAGTTGGCCCTCCACATCTTTCTGCATCCATGAATTGAACCAACTGTGAATTGAAAATATTCTCCCTCTGCCCCTAAAATAGTGTCTGTACTGAGCATGTACAGGATTTGTTTTGTCATTATTCCCTGAGCAATATAGTGTGCCAGCTATTTCCATAGCATTTACATTGGGTTAGATATTACAAGTCATCTAGAGATGATTTTGTGTACCATTTTATATAAGGGACCTGTGTCTCCTTTTGATCTGTGGGAGTGGGATGGGGTCCTGAGGATAATGGGAGAGGACTGGTATGTGCTATTAATTCCTATTAAATGTGGATTTGTCACCCTTCTGAAAAAAAAAGTCCAGCCTTGAATTACAGAGAGAAAAGCCCCTTTACACTTGGGTAAGATTAGCATACTGTGGGCACAGGTGAAGCTGCTTCCTGAACTTCTGTCAGATATAAAAGTCTCATCACAGGACAGGAAAAGAGAGAGGACAGAAGTGGGAAAAGGAACCTTTTGTAATTTAAGAAGAGAAAAATATATAAGGTAAATAAATTAAGAAATGTTAGTATAAGTTCTTTCCATATTGCTTATAATTCATTTCTCTCCCTTCCTCTTTTCCCAGAAGTTGAGTAGAGGCCAAGTCACTCTTAGGGATTTCTCCTACTGTCTCTTCCATGAGCACATACTATGGTCCAGCATGGGTCCCTCACAGAGAACAACTAGAGACCCGCTCCTGATCTCATCCTGTAAACAGTGGGAGGGGTTTAAAACCAAGCACATAAGCCTTGGTTTTCTTGCCATATGCTTTTGATGATAAAGATTAATTTTGTTGACCATCAAAATGAGTAAACGTTGCCTTATAATGCTTACTGCTTAGAAATAAACATAGTGCTACTTGTCTTAAGGATTGAAATGACTTTTGCTAAGGTTAATTCATAGTCATTGAGGTGGAGACAACTACCCTGTATGTCTTATTCATCTTTGTTCCTCAAGGTGTCATATTAAAAAAGGGCCAGTAAATATTTGTTGAAATGCAGAAGTTCACATTTACTTGCCATATTCACTTCCTTAGACAGGAAATTGAAGTATTAAAGATAGGTTTCCCTAGAAACCTGTCTTTTCCATTATGTATCTTAAAGTGAATTGGAAAGAAAAGAGT